AAATGCTTCCACACTGCAGACATGTTTGCTGCATTAGCGCGCCCCTCTATTTGATCGCTTCACGTCATTGTTCGGTACAATTTATTCGGTCTTAGACTTTTCGCTTATTCAGCTGAACACCGAAAGAGGTTTTTTTTTTACGAATAATTTTGGTTGCCGAACATTCGGTGCATCTCCGTAGTATTCAGGTGAGACACATTACAGAAATTGAATGAAGAAATCAAATCTAAAATAACATGCATAGTCATCAGTTGCATAAATTAAATATAGATTCATCTTTATTAAATAATATCAAAGGTATTTTTTTCACATCTTTTTGTGTTCACACAACAAGTCATAACCAACTGTGTTTAAAAGGATACTCAGCAAGATGGCCGGTTTGAAGTCATTTTGTGTATGTGTTCATTTCAAGTGCAAGATGAAGTGAAAGATAACTAAATTCAGCATTTGCACCCTCTCTGAAAGGCGGATTCAAGTGTGTACAAACAGAAAACCATCTCAGACAGTGAGCGAATGGTAAATTTATCTTTCACGTCTTCTTGTGCTTGATTAGTTAAAAATCACTTGAATGTTTAAAGTTGCAAGACTTAAAGGGTTAGTTCACCCAAAAAACACAAATTAAGATATTTTTGATGCATCCCGTGAGCTCTCTGACACTCCATAGGGTCAGATATAGAACAGCATACGCTGTTTACGTTCAATGGATTTTCTTCAAAATGGCGCTAGGGTGACGCGGAGGAGACAAATTGTTGAATAAAGTGGGGGTTTTTTTCTTTTGCGCACAAAAAGTATTCTCGCCGCATCGTAATATTACGGTTGAACCCCTGATGTCACATGGGCTATTTTACCGATGTCCTCGCTATGTTTCTGAGCCTTGATCGTGGTAGTTACCTTGCTGTCTATGGGAGGGTCAGAGAGCTCTCGGAATGCATCAAAAATATCTTAATTTGTGTTCCGAAGATGAACGGAGGTCTTACGGGTTTGGAACGACATGAGGGTGAGTAATTAATGACAGAATTTTCATTTTTGGGTGAACTATCCCTTTAAGAACTTGTGTGAATGATAAACTTTCACAGTCGGGCCTGTTACAATCCTTACCATCTTTCACACTGGCCCTGGGCCAGCTCTTAGTGTCGAGTCCTGTGTTAGTCAAGATTTTTTTACACCTGAAGAGGTTGTAATTTAATACATTGACATGTTTTGCTGCTGTACCTTAAGGCATCTATGCAAGTTAGCTCTGCTCTGACTGGTTAAGTCTTACTAACCAAAATAGACTAAATTGTCTTTCATCAGGACTCGCCTATTAACAGATACATGAATTATATGTAAATGTGGGTGGTCATAAGCTAATGTATCATGGTTGTGGCATCTTTATCATAACGATTCCTGTGTGTGTGTGTTTGTGTTTGTGTGTGTGAGAGAGAGAGAGCTGGCAATGATTTGAGCTTTGACTTTGTTCATTCAAACTTTGGAGCCCAGTCTGTGTGTCTCTCCACAAAATAATACTATTTAGGCTAGTTTAACTGTCTACAGTTGGATTCATTTTATATTGAGTTTCCCCTCAAATTTCTACTCTCAGACCGATAAAATATAATTAGTGGAGCCCAGTGAGATCATTTTACTCAAACCCAATGTTTTATTGTTCCTTTCACAATGCTCAGGCTTAATCCTCTTTCATTCACTCTATCGCAACAGTGTGCATACATGTGGGTTCATTACTTTCATTTTCTTGTCTCTCTTTCCAGCAACTTTTGATCCAGTTTCCAGGTTAATGCCCACAATTCCTCTGTAAAAACAAACACACAACATCAGATTAAAAAATAAAAAATTGCATATACCCAAAAAATATAATGAATTTAAGTGTCATTTTAAAATTACATTTTCCTTATTATTTAATTTATTGAAGAGTTAGGGCCAAAGAAAATATTTCCAATAGTTTCACTGACCAAGTTAATTGTATTTATTGAAAACAAATAGATTTTGATGGCTGCGACATGCTGCAAAAACGTGAGACAAATAATTTGTTTTATTAAATTATATAATTATTATTTCTTTTATTTATCTTATTATATTGACTTTTTATTTTTGTTATTTATATGCCCTTTTTTCCTGTTATTTTCGTTATTATTTTTTCTCATTTTTTTATGGTTCTGCATTGTTTGTATAGTTTTATATTTATTTGCATATTTTGTAATAGATTTTTTTTATAAAATATTTGTGCTGGATTTTGGTTGTATGTACTCAATTCAGTGTGCAGTCAGCATTTTTTTGCTGTTTGAAAACTTTTCCAAAAAACATCTAATCCTGATAAGCCATCCAAACCTGTAAACCTAAAAAAAGTAATGGAAATTTGGATGTCTACAATAAATATTCAGTAAGAGTTTGTTCTGACATACCTCTGAATAATTTCGAAGGTGCATGCAGCTTCATCCTGATAAGCAAGGTTTAAGTTGTAATAGGTCGCAAACAATGCTGCCAGGCCCTCAACAAATGCCAAATATTTTGCATTACCAGTTAAACTTAAGACATTAAAAATCTAAATTATATTACTTACATCAGCTTCAAATAGAAGGGATTCTGTTCTCTTTAAAATGGGCCATTAAGAGTTGCAGGATGCACAGGACCAGAGACTTTCCCTCTTGATACTTTGACAGAACAGCATGCACCTCACTGTTTGGACATACCTTAAAAAGATGGAAAACAGTGGTGTAACACAATCACAGACAAGCCACATGTTCAGTAACAAAGTAGCAGTAAAGCATGTGCACAGCAATTTCCAATGTACTTTCTAATGAACAACTAAAGTACTACATACACCCTTATAAGTGATATTAACATAAAGCTAAACCTTAAAAAAACAAATCCTTACAGCAACTCCATCGAACAAACACGTGCTAATTAGTTAATGGCTTGGCAGTGGAGTGAACCACTAACGTTACTGAGTTACATAAAACCTACACAATTTAAATTGTATTAATGTAATTGCAATGCTGTAAAGTTTACGTGACTACTACCAACAATCCAAACTTATTTTATACTGAACAGCTATCGAAATGTAATAGTAACGTAATATGGCAGACAGGTCACACTTTCAAGATGAAAACAAAAAAGTTAGTTACCCAGCTAACGTTAAAGTTCATCGTAACTTTGGACTCAAAACGCAAATTCTGTAGCATAGAACTGAACCGATATTTATCCCTTTTGAAACGTCACAAAATAAAAATAACAGTCACACAATGAAAGATATTAATGACTGGTAAAATAATTACATTAAGAGTGCTAAATGTCGCGACAAGTCCCAAGATGTCCGCTGCTGATGACGAAATGCCGTCACACGCACGCGCTACGCGATACACGATGTAGTTGCCTAATCATGTGTGTTTTTAAAGCAAACAGTTTTAAACTAATAGATGCGTACATTATATAATCATATGTCAGAGTCAACATGGTGTAAATAACTTGTTAAAAAGGCTGTATTTATTAGAGTTGACTGAGTACCAAAACTGGATTTCAAAACTTGTGCAACAGTTTTCTTCTATAAGAAAGAATATATGTATACATGATCTCCTGTAGCATTTACTGCATAATCATGTTCCTAGAATATATAGGAAAATGCAAAAACATTCTTAGATACTACTGTAAAATTTACAGCAATTATTTAGCATGTTCCCGCAATTCATAGCAAAATACAGTAATGCTGTAAATTTCAAAATACAGTGGTCTATTGTAAATATTTACTGTAAAAATTACAGCAATTCTTTACAGTGTATGTCATACCCATGTTATTATACAAATTTGTGTCCTCATAAACCACATAAACATGCACACACACACACACACACACATTTAACTCTTTTCATTAATCGAGAAAATATTTTATAGACTATTTAAAGGGATACTTCAGCCAAAAAAGAAAATTGTCATTGTTTACTCAAATTTGTATATTGTTCCAAACCTGTATGACTTGATTTCTTCTTTGGAACAAAAAGGACAACTATTGTAAAATAGAGGATTGTTTTGCAAAAAAAACTAAAATTAAAAAAATAATTAAAATGAATGAATGTACATAGGGACTGTCAGGCTCCAAATAAATAATAATAAAATAATAAAAAAAAAAAACATTAGTCCAGTATGTGAGGCATACATTTTTTTTTTACTCTTAGTCATAGTTACTCTTACTTGCCCTCATGTTTAGGTGTTTCACATTATGACACATGCTCCATTAATGAAAGTAAGTTGTACCGTATGGTTTTGGAATGACATTAGGGTGAGTAAATGATAACAGTTATAATTGTAGGATGAAGAAAACCTTTAAGTAAATTGTGTATTGAACTTTATACAAGTATAATTTAACTGGAAAAAATGAAAATTTGATAATTGACCATAATCTGCAAAACTAAAATGTTCTTTTATTTTTTAGTTCGAATTTTTGTGTTTGTGGCTGAAAAAAAATAATAAAATGATCTCATAAAATTGCGAACATTAAAATGAGTGCCGCACAAGTTTTCTTTCCATATCCTCTCACTATCTCAGCTGTGGCTTAAGTTATGTTTATAAGTTTTAAATGTTGTATGCATTTTTAAAATGTATTTTATGATTGTTGCTTGTGCTTCGACTGTTTCTGCATCAGTTCATCATATATATTCACTGTACGTCTATTTTGTAAAACTTCACTGACTATAAAGAAGGGATAAATCTCTAATAAATGATTGTGTGTGTGTGCAGTAAGTGATTTTCTCTGCAGTAGATAAGAGCTGCTTTCACCTGGGCTGATACTGTAGCCTTTCTTTGGCAGGACTGTAGAGAAGCTGATTACAGCTTTGATGTTTTGGTTTCATTGATACGTCCAGTGTTCTTGCAATAACCGAAATGCTGACCAGTGATCTAGGAAGGGGTCTCGTCTTAATAAAACACATAATAAGCACTCTGAAAGATGATGAAAGTGAATGAATGGTTATTGTGCCATCAGCTGTAATTGGCAGTTGTTTCTGGGGCTTCAGGTGTACAGCACGTTCTCTAATGAAGAGTACGACCGGAGGAACGATGATGTGGATCCTGTGGCGGCGTCGGCCGAGTACGAGCTGGAGAAACGGGTGGAGAAGATGGACGTGTTTCCCGTGGAGATCGAGAAAGGTGAGGCGGTGTCTTTCACAAAATACTCCAGCTCTCTCTGAGATTGAGTGATTAAAAAGTATGAAGCACAGGTCAAACGGAAATCACTTTCAAACCATGTTTTTTTATTGATCAATGTGGCAAATTCATGTGAACAACTTAAACATGAGAGAAATCCACAGAGGGAAGTTTTTCGGCCTCACACGAAAACTCGCAGTTGTGCAGATTTCTATTGGAATCACTGGATTTCACCATGAAATATGGCAGAGCAATGGTAAACGTGACTGCACCTCTGTATGTAATGTCTGTACGTAATGATCTCCATTATGATTGGCTAGCCTCTTTGCATGTGAAATGAGTAGAGACATCCCTGCCTAGATGCTGAACACTGAACGGGTATTAATATGTAAATGTTGGCAGTCATATGTTAATGATAAATGGCCTGTTTGAACTGGGGAGAAGAATTGCACAACAATTCCAAAGTCAATGAAAAGAAAAAATTATGAAGGCAGACTTACCTTTTTGCTCTCTCTCTCTCTCTCTCTCTCTCTCTCTCTCTCTCTCGCTCTCTTCTCTTGGTGTAGGTGATAAAGGGCTGGGGATCAGTATTATAGGGATGGGTGTTGGGGCAGATCAGGGTCTGGAGAAACTGGGCATCTTCGTCAAGACCATCACGCAGGACGGCGCTGCAGAGAGAGATGGCAGGTGAGATCTTTAGATTAAACATTTGGACCAGCAGAATAGAATTTCTTTGAACATGCAGAGATTCACTGTGGAGCCATTAGACGAAAAAACAGATCTTGATTGCTTGGAAAAGTAAGACCACACATCTCCTCAACTGGCTCTCTGATACCGTGTGCTTGTAATATTGTCCTAATCAGTCCTTTTTCTGGAGAGAAGCATAATTTTATTCAGCAAGGTCATATATAACAGTAAAGACTTTTACGCTGTTACAAAACAACTCCGTATCAAAAATTGCTGTTCTTTTGTTATTTATTAAAAATGTATCATGGTTTCCACAACAATATATGACCCCTTTAACTTATATTCAAATAAATAAATAAAAATTATAATATCTCACAATCTTACTGATTTTACTGTATTTGTATCAAATAAATGCAGCCTTAGTGAGCATAAGTGACTAATGCCGGGTTCAGACTACACAATATTTTTGTCGGTCATGATAGTCACTGTCAGATTACACGATTTTGACTCCTAAAATCTTGTCGTGTCGTGGACAAGAAGCATGTCAGGCTACACGTTGCTTCTCGACCAATCATCGTGTGCCATCTTTAACGACACGTGTGATGTCATCGAGAAGGCGGAACTAGCGACTGACTTCCGAAAACAAGAGTGTAAACATTACTGAAGCGCTTACGCTATAGTTCGCCAGCATTTTTCTTTCTTTGTTCTGTCGTGGTAGTCCCTCGATGACACATCATACATGCAGGAGTACTGTTGTCACAGCTCCACGAACCTTTCCTCCATCTCATAATTCCACCTAGCAGCACCATCATCTCTCTTTCGTTTTGCCATGTTTGAAACCTGTGTATGAAAGAGCGTCTGTGCTGCTATTGGTCAACGTCACCAATGTGACAGAACTCATCGTGGACGGCGGAAAAACAAATTAAACATGCTAGTCTTTCTGTCGTGAAGCATCGCAGACGCGGAATCGGTTGTCGTCCATTATGACACACTACACGAGCTGAAACGATGGAATCTTGCGTCCCGACGCCCATTGTCGTTTACGAATCCCCACGACACTCTACGTCAAGCAAATCGTGGCAAAATCGGGCTAAAATCGTGTAGTCTGAACCGGGCATTAGTGTCAAAAACATTCAAATATCGTAGTGACACCAAACCTTTGAACGGTATATATTCTGGTGAGCCCTGTTTGTGGTGTTTTTGCTGCTGCAGTAGTGGTGGGCATGTCTTCACGTGCTGCTTCCTGAGGGCAGCTGGAGCAGGACACACATGTTTGATCTGTCTGGTCGTTTATGACTGTGTCACAATACAGAAAACACACTCTTCCTCTTTCCTGTGAATCTCAGCACTCGCTGCCAACTGCCGACTTTGTTTTGAAATGCTTAGTGCTGTTTGGAAAAAGTGACCCAGCTGGGTCTCTGTCATAAACATGTTGTGTAGTTTGCGGGTCAGATTAGGTGTGAGAAGTGTTAGCAATCTGTGCCTTGCCCAGATGTATTTCACATGTCACAGTGTAGCATTTAGCAGCACATTTACAATAGTGCGAATCAGATGGAATGAAAGCAGGGTTTCATTACTGTATGTTTTGGAGCTTGTTTGGAGCTCAAAAGTTTGGGTTAAGTTAGATTAAAAATAAAAAAATCAGCATATTAGAATGATTTCTGAAGAAACTAAAGACACTAAAGACTGGAGAAGTGATGCTGAAAATTCAGCTTTGATCACAGGAATAAATTATATTTTAAAACATATTCGTAATTATAATCAGTAATATTATATTTTCCAATATCGTAATTATTCCAGTCTTTTGACTAGTAGTGATACAGTAATGCACTGAAACGTGAGCGCATGCCGTGGGACCTCACATTTACAATTTAGATTATTTTTTGGTGTTGTCACGATACCAGAATTTTGACTTCGATACGATACCGGACTAAAATATCTGGATACTACTACTGAACCGATGCTATGACAAAAACATAGAACAACAGGAAAAGTTTTAACTTTGTTATTAATAATAAGAACATAGAGGCACGTAACAAACTAAAGGACAAATACAATAAAACAAAGACACACATGAAATAAATGGGGCCCTATATCCATTTTATTTCTTCCCAAATTCCATTTTATTTTTTCCAAATTCAAAGTTTTCATTTTTCTGGATTCCGTTTTTTTTCTGTTTTAATTTTCTAGACTGGAATGGTTACATAAAAAAATATGAATCAAAATCATGTCTAATTAATTGAAATCATGAAACTTACACAGTTACACATCAATTTTTTAAAAAGTTTAAGACGACATTTTTAAGGCCCTATGAAATATGTTTTATTATTTTTATCAACATTTTTAAATATGTTTTCCATGTCAAACACACAACTCATGGGCTTTTTCTTACATCAGCGCTAACACATTGTACACGTTTGGAGTGCAGTGCTGGGTAGGTTACCTACAAAATGTGGTCTGTTACTGATTACAAATAACACTATGAAAATTGCAGTCAGTAATGTACTCTTAGATTACTCATGCATTCTTTTAGTTTATTTTAGATTACTTTTAACCTAATTTGTTTATAGATAGAATTTTTACAAAGACAAATAAAATGTATGATTATTAACCAATATCAGAGAACATGTGACTGTGTTGTGACTGGATTTCACATTGCTCTGTGAAATCCAGTCATTTCAATAGGAAAACACAGGAGCAGAATTTTCCATGTGAAATTGCTGTGTTGACCAGCAGAAAGGAAATTTGTTTGAAAATGACTCACGGTGTGAGCTGTGCATTATGCATTGCTGTGCTATTGAAAATTTACCTTTTTCTCCTGCAACATTTTGCCAAAGTTTTTCTAATTTGGCTGCATGTTTAGACTGGAATCCTGCACAGAAACACCTTCAGACTTTTTTTAGCCAGAACTTCTTTGTTGAATGTTCACAAGTATGCAAAATTATGTAAAAATCCACCATGCTGAATGAGGAAACAGATTCGTGAGTCTATTCAAAATCGTAGTGGGGTTCATACCGGTGTTGAACCACTGTGCTTTTGGTATCTGTGCAGGTATGCTATGCTTTTGAATTCTGAAATGTTAATGTTTCACCAGTGGTTTTCACAATTTTCGTTATACTTGGGTTACTTTGTTAATTCCTAACTTCTTAACTTTGCTCTATTTTTGGACTGGCTGTTTCTCGTTTTGTTTTAGTTTTTTTGCGTTGCATCATGTCTGTGTCTCTGATGTCATGACAGGACGATCACTACGAGGATGAGGAGCCACACTTGAACCAGATAATCAAGGTCTTCAGGGTTACTTGATAGTTACAGACGGGTGTATTGGAGCAGGGTTGGAACTGAAGCCTGCAGGAAGGTAGCTGTCCAGGAGCAGGTTTGGAGACCTCTGCTCTGGGCTAAAGGTTACGAGTTCACCACATGCAAATAAACAATGCACACACTCACACAGGCTCCATTGTTTCCTTTCTACATGATGTACGCCGATCAGTATACGTTATACACGTAATTTTCCTTGTTCACCTGTCAATCACGCCGTTCAGGTTTCTGATTGGCCGAGAGAAGCCAGGTACTCAGAGTGAGGTGGCACGCCTCATCAGTGAAACCCTGGAGCAGGAGCGGCAGCAGCAGGTGGACGACACATACGAGCAGTCCACTGAAGAGGTCAGTCAAACACACAACTCATGGGCTTTTTCTTACATCAGCGCTAACACATTGTACACGTTTGGAGTGCAGTGCTGGGTAGGTTACCTACAAAATGTGGTCTGTTACTGATTACAAATAACACTATGAAAATTGCAGTCAGTAATGTACTCTTAGATTACTCATGCATTCTTTTAGTTTATTTTAGATTACTTTTAACCTAACTTGTTTATAGATAGAATTTTTTTTTTTTTAAAACAAAGACAAATAAAATTTATGATTATTAACCAATATCAGAGAACATGTGAATATGTTGTGACTGGATTTCACAGAGCACATTTCAATAGGAAAACACGCAGGATTTTCCATGTGAAATTGCTGTGTTTACCAGCAGAAAGGAAATTTGTTTGAAAATGACTCGCTGTGTGAGCTGTACATTATGCATTGCTGCGCTATTGAAAAGTAACATTTTGCCAAAGTTTTTCTAATTTGGCTGCACGTTTAGACTGGAATCCTGCACAGAAACACCTTCAGACTTTTTTTAGCCAGAACTTCTTTGTTGAATGTTCACAAGTATGCAAAATTATGTAAAAATCCACCATGCTGAATGAGGAAACAGATTTGTGAGTCTATTCAAAATCGTAGTGGGGTTCATACCGGTGTTGAACCACTGTGCTTTTGGTATCTGTGCAGGTATGCTACGCTTTTGAATTCTGAAATGTTAATGTTTCACCAGTGGTTTTCACAATTTTCGTTATACTTGGGTTACTTTGTTAATTCCTAACTTCTTAACTTTGCTCTATTTTTGGACTGGCTGTTTCTCGTTTTGTTTTAGTTTTTTTGCGTTGCATCATGTCTGTGTCTCTGATGTCATGACAGGACGAGCACTACGAGGATGAGGAGGAAGGGGGAGAGGATGGCATCCTTGGTTCCAGTTTCGGCAGGAGGAATGTGGAAGTGTATGATCTGCCTGAGAGCGAGGAGATGTTCCTGCCGTCAAACATGGACGCCGCTCAACTAACTTTCAGATTTAAAGAGGTAACAGACTTTTGGTGCTTTTCATTTCACTTATGGCTCGTTTCCACCGAGTGGTACGGGTCAGTACAGTACGGTACGGTACGATTCGGACACCCTGATCCAGCTTGCATTTCCACCACCAACAGTACCCTTACTTGATAGGCGTGGTGTATGCCGGAAAGTAGCGATCGACGATAAAGCGCAACAATAAGTACAACTCTGCCTCTTTTAATGAACAGTAACAGCCATTATAAAAGTACAAGTAGAAAGTATAAGAGGCTTATATAAGAGGAAATAAAGACAAAAGCAAACAATTCAGTCAAACGTATGCTACAAAGTCAGTGCTGTACTACAGTAAAGTTTAAAATAAATATAGAAACAACTTTGTGCTCAGCCAAAACGATATGACCAGGAACAGATAATGGATTCAAGAGACCATGAATGCCTGTTAAATATACCCAAAACTAATTGTATCTCGTGTTTAATCACTACAGAGACATCAGAGCCAGCGGCAAATGTCGGAAGGATAGCCGAGCCAAGGCTGCTCTAGGCGGATAGATCCGAAATCGGCATAGCAAATTTTCAAATAGGTGCTATCTTTATAAATATACACCGCAGATTTGAGTTTTAAACAACTACGATAAAGCTCAACAATAACTACATCTCTGCCTCTTTTAATGAACAGTAACAGCCATTATAAAAGTACAAGTAGAAAGTATAAGAGGCTTATATAAGAGGAAATAAAGACAAAAGCAAACAATTCAGTCAAACGTATGCTACAAAGTCAGTGCTGTACTACAGTAAAGTTTAAAATAAATATAGAAACAACTTTGTGCTCAGCCAAAACGATATGACCAGGAACAGATAATGGATTCAAGAGACCATGAATGCCTGTTAAATATACCCAAAACTAATTGTATCTCGTGTTTAATCACTACAGAGACATCAGAGCCAGCGGCAAATGTCGGAAGGATAGCCGAGCCAAGGCTGCTCTAGGCGGATAGATCCGAAATCGGATCTTTATAAATATATCTTTATCTATATCTTTATAAATATACACCGCAGATTTGAGTTTTAAACAACTACATTCTCGCCTGAAAAACTCTTAAAACTACATTTCGTGACACAATAACAGTAATATTTTGAAAATTACGTGGGTTTTTGGGCAATGACGTTTCACAAGTCCACAAGAACACACATTGAGAAACGGCGTGAAAATATAAAATTGTAAAATACACGGTTATATTTTTTTATGTTTGCGCACTCTGATGTTAATAAGCCCAACACTCATGAACAGCAGAGCGGAACGAGTGAAGAAGAAGCTTTATCCCCTTGTATCATGCAAAAGTGACGATTCTAGTCAACCAATCAGCATTCTGCAGTGAGTTTAGCTCCACCCTTTTGGTACCGTTTGCTAAGTACCCCAACGGAAGGGTACCAAAAAAGTGGTACGGTACAGTTCGCTATTTTGGTACCATTAACAACTTCTGATAATGGAAACGGACATAATTGCGTACCGTACTGTACTGTACCGAACCGCTCGGTGGAAACGAGCCATTATTTATAATAGATTGCAATTAACGATTTCTTAATTTTGTATATATTCTGTTTTAATTTCAGCTCCAGATAAAACACACCATTGCAGAAGCCGAAGTAGATGAACTGAAAGAGAGAGTACGGACTTCTGAACCATCTTATCCATTTATATCAAACATACGGCAGTTCCTGTGTGCTTTAACCGGTTTTGTTGCTGTTGCAGTTGAGAGAGTCGTCAGAGGAGCGTGCGGCGTGGGAGGCGAGGGAAGCTCAGTTAGAGAGGAGCGTACAGGAGAACTCTGAGAGAATCGCTCAGATGGAGAAGAACTGGCTGGAGGCTCAGGCTCTCTGTAAAAGCATCAACGAACAGCTCAATGACACGCAGAGCCAATATGAAGCTCTGGATAAAAAATATAGCAAAGCCAAGAAACTGCTCAAGGACTATCAGCAGAAGTGAGTGGTGGCATCAGCACTAAGCTTTCCATTAGTATAAAGTTTAACTGCTTTGTGATCATCATGCAATGTCTTAATTGTAATAACTTCAAAATTCTATGTATATAGTCTGTGATTTGCATGAACTTGTTTTATTTTTTTAGCATTAATAGCACTTTTTTGTCCTTTGTGGCAGCCCCTAAGTCAAAGTATGTTTTCGCAGTCTTGTATTCTTCAAATTTCCTTCTCAGTTTCACAGTACAAAGTTATACGATCATCATGCAATGTCTTAATTGTAATAACTTCAAAATTCTATGTATATAGTCTGTGATTTGCATGAACTTGTTTTTTTTTTTTTAGCATTAATAGCACTTTTTTGTCCTTTGTGGCAGCCCCTAAGTCAAAGTATGTTTTCGCAGTCTTGTATTCTTCAAATTTCCTTCTCAGTTTCACAGTACAAAGTTATATAGATTTTAAATGACATGAGAGTGAGAATGCTTTACAGTCAACGAACCTTTTAAAAGTTCATAAAGAGATGTTGTAAAGTCTTTGTTCAATTATACAGTACTGTATATTTTGGCCTCATTTTAGGTTTAGGCTTAATATAGGCTTAGCCTTAGGACTTTAGGCTTTGGCCTAGTCTATTATAATCACAATTGGCTTAATTTGACAACAATAGTTATTTAGATATATTTAGGTCTTCTAAATCAATAGATGTGTGTGTGTGTGTTTGTGTTTGTGTTTGTGTGTGTGTTTGTGTTTGTGTGTGTGTGTGTGTGTGTGTGTGTACGTCTGTGTGTGTGTTTGTGTTCATGTGTGTTTGTGTTCATGTGTGTTTGTGTTCATGTGTGTTTGTTTTCATGTGTGTGTTCCTGTGTGTGTGTGTTTGTGTTCATGTGTTTTTGTGTTCGTGTGTGTGTTCCTGTGTGTGTGTGTTCGTGTGTGTGTGTGTGTGTGTGTGTTCGTGTGTGTGTGTGTGTGTTGCGTTGCAGAGAGGTGGAGTATGAGCAGAGGGAGGAGGACTTACAGAGAACTCTGGAGGAGAGAGAGGCCAAGTATAAAACTCAGATAGAGGATCTGCAGCGCAGGGTGAGAACACACTTCACTTATCAGCGGCAGCAGAAATGAACTCGCACATAAAGCTTTCATGCTTTCTCTGATTCCTACCTGTCAATCTGTCTCTGTGTGTAGCTGGCAAAGCTTGAGTCTGGCAGCAGTCGTCATGAGTCTCCACTGTCGGGCAGTAAGTCTGCAGATTCAATTCTGCTGGGTGAGTTAAAGATCTCAATGCTTCTTAATGGCTGTCTAAATCCAAGCAGGGTTAATTGATTGTGATATCATGCTGAGCCCAGACTGAAGTTATAAGATGCGAAAACCAGTTGGGCTCAGTCATAGAAACATAAAAACTGCTGCAGAGAGTAACAGCAACATGAAATATATGCATAATTATGCTAAATAAGCATGCAGTTGACTTTTCACATATAAAATAGTTAACTCCCGGGTCATTTTAATCCTGAATTAACTGGTTGCATTTCTCAATTGGTTATTATTCAAGTGTAGTCATGTCTTAAAACACTAGGCTGGTGTTTTTATTGGCATATACTGACAATGTTTTTTCATTACATCATGTCTGTGAGAAAAAGCATCCTTGAGAGAAAGTATCCCTTCTCCATGAGCATGCATCCTATTTTAATAACTGCTTGTACATATTTTACCACATTAATCAATAATATTGTTTCTTCTACAACAGTGTTATTATGCAACAGTGTTTACTGATGCTGTTTCTTCAGATGCAGAAACTAAACCCAGCATAGGAAACTATACCAAGTGCCACTCTTGTTGGCAAACAAAATTAACCAATGAAACTTGGTCTGAAGTAAGCTAACATAGCCAATTTTTGAGTAGGCCTGAGAGAAAGCAGGTAGTTAAGTCTCCAGATGGTCCATTATCCATTATCAGTTGCATAGAGATAAATCATAAATAAACACTGTTCACAAAGAGGTCAGAAGAAGCTGTGACTACAGCGAATTCACTTGACCAACTTGAAGATGAGCAGTAATGCATACAGTTGGAGAGCTTTCAAAGGGTCTCTCAGTCAGTTAAGTATGCATTGTTCTCCAGGAGCGGACTGGAGCGAGGTGGTCCCTGAGACGGAGCGTTTGGACACCAGCGCCCATCGTGCAAAGGCCCAGCTGGCCCAGAGATCCAAACGGCAGCCACCGTCCCGCAGTAAACTCAAAGAGACGCTCAGCTCGCCAGCGAGAAGCCCACAGGTCACACAGAGCTCAAGAAATTCATGAGCAATTGACTGCTGTAAAAAATCCAATGCATCAGTTTTGAACAATAGCATTGTTTTTGACCTCAGGGTGATGATGAGAGTCAGTCTGCGAGTCCCGAGTCTCCACCGCCTCGTAGGAGATCAATCCAGGAGAGTTTGTCCCTGCCGGTCGCCATATCTTCCCCTGCTAACCACCAGAAGGATGAAGGTTCTATTACAAGCAGCAGCCAATCAGTGCAGAGGGATCCTCAAGGCCCCGCCCTCTCCTCTCCTAAAGACTCCTCCCCCTCCAGCTTCCTGCGGAATGTAAAGAAGAGAGAGTCCAAAGGCAAGGGCAAAGAGGTCAAAGGTAACAAGCTGGATAATCAATCCATGTTAGCCTGGAAATCAGATGTTTGTCTGTGTTTGTATTTTAATTAGGGATATGCCGGTATCAAATTGTTGCGCATAATTGCTAATGCTTTTATCATGGTATACGGTATTATCGCGGTATTGAAATTTAGTTTTAAAAAAGTGCTTTCATAATACAGTATAACAGGTTTAATAACTTTTTTCTTATAACAAAAATAACACAATAAGACCTCATTAGTTAACCTTAGTTAATGCATTAACATTCACAGTGAGCAATAGCTACATTTGTTACAGAAGTTATTAATTATTAGTTATTAAGTCTTAGTTCATGTTAGCTCATTAAATAACACAGTTGCACCTTTCGATTTTAACAACGTGTTATTAAATATTGTAATTACCTAAGATTAATGATTGTTCAGAAGAATTTTTCATTGGCAGTTTGTTAACTAATGAATTAACTAATGTTAACTAATGAAGCCCTAATGTAAAGTGTGACCGAACAATAAAGAATCAACACACTTTCAAACAATATCTAGGGCATGTTGTAGTCTAGATTAAAATGTAAAAAAAGATTGAAAATAAATAGTCTATTAAGTCTAAATATTTAAGTATCTGTGATGAATATCATAGCAAATACACAAATCTGAATGGCTGTTTAAATCATTTAAACACGATTCAGAAACCGAAAGTAGAGCAGCTGCTTTGTTTACAGGGTTTCATTTAAATTAATTATTATTATTATTATTATTTCTGCAGTTTAGCCCATCTGCTGTCTCTGCTGTCTCCCAGAGCGTCTCTCACATGTTCCACCGTGTGCTTCTCGTCCGCGCTTGTTTACATCTGAGTGCGCCTGTGTGTGTGTGTGTGTGTGTGTGTTTGTATTCGTGTGTTTGTATTCGTGTGTGTGTGTTCGTGTGTGTGTCTGTGTGTGTGTCTGTCTGTGTGTGTGTGTCCGTGTGTGTGTGTGTTTGTTTCCATGTGTGCGTGTGTGTGTGTTTGTGTCCATGTGTGTGTGTGTTTGTGTTCATCACATGTTCCACCGTGTGCTTCTCGTCCGCGCTTGTTTACATCTGAGTGCGCACGCATCTTTCACGCAGCATACAGCGGTGTTGTGCATTTTGACCAGTTGATGGGAAAAGTATTCTTAAAATGCATTCAAAATTCGGAATAACTTGTAATATATATTTATTCACGGTATTTAGAAGTGCCCATGATAACAATATCGTGCATATTCATTACCGTGATATATCGCATTACCGAATACCGGCACAAGTCTAATTTTAATACAATTCTTTTATTTATTTCAGATGAGTCTAATGATGCAGCTGGAAAAACTAAAAGAAGATTCCCAGACTTTGGGTAAGAGCAGAATTCCACACTTTTTTCTCAGTGAACTTTTGTTTTGTTCTTATTGTAAGTTCATTAAGGTTTGTGTTGTTGTATGTAATGTGTTTTTCTGACTGTTTCTGATAGTGGTTTAAGGAAATCAGGAGGAAAGGGGAAAAAACTAAGCAAAGAAGCTACGAGGGCATCACTGGACAGCAGGTAGACACACACGTTTGGTTTCCGTGTTTTATAGACATAATGGTTTTTATACTGTCCAAACTGTATTTTCTATCCCCTTACTCTAAACCTACCCCTTCCAGAAAACGTTCTGCATTTTTAGGTTTTCGGAAAACTTCATTCTGTATGATTCATCAGCTTGTTTCCTCAAGGAGGAAAAAAAAAATTACTGGTATTATTACTAGGGCTAATTTTTCGATTTATCGTTTCTTTAAATGACGTCGATTCGATATCGATTCTCAAAAGCCGCGAATCGATCTTTTCCGGGATTTATTTCAGCACACATTTAAAATAAGATCTGATTAACGTGAATCTTATCATTAGTCTTCTCCACTAGATGTCACCCTTATTTACCTTGCGCTATGTTACAACAGAAAGTCTGTCATTCATTCAGCGCTTATCGTGGCCATACGCGTGATTCGCAATGCTCAGGTGAAATGCTATAGTAATACTATAAATCTGCGGAAGCATTTGATATCACGCATAAGGCGCCATGATTTCTGCAATGAATGAATGAATGGCGGATGGCGCACTGTTTTGTTTACTACACACATACTAAAGCGCGGATGACGCTCGCGGTGTATTCAGCTTCTGCCGTCTCACTATATGATGATATGAACACGAATGTCATCTCCAGCTGCTCT